GAGAGAGAGAGAGAGAGAGAGAGAGAGAGAGAGAGAGAGAGAGAGCTAGCGTGAGAGAGAGAGAGAGAGAAAAAGAAATAGAGATAGATAGATACCAGATATATGTACCACGTTTTCGTGTGGATATGCAAGCAATATATCGCGGCTAATCCGGATACTTACTTCCTGCTGAGTGGTTTCTTTCACTCTCTGGATAGACTGCCCCTGTCGTCGCTAAGCTGTAACGACTATCGAATGGCAGCGGCTGGCACTAAAAACGTTCGACACCGGATGCACGTACATTTTTGCTCGTGAACATCACAAGTGCATGCGGATTCGGGGACACGACAACACGGCATACCCCGGCGCAAGCCGTCAAGGTTCATTCTCACGCACACGCTGAAACGTACTTCACGCGCTAACTGTATACTTACTACGTGCAATTGCGAATGCGGCGTGTACAGTAGAGATTTAAGAAAACGAACGTTTAAACTGGTCCACCATGGACGAAACATCGCTTCTTATACATAGACCCGTGTGAGAAATTATCATTGTGCTGTTGGAAATTCAGTTTCTTGTTTATTCGCTTAGTGTATTGCAATTTATAGGGGAGATAAATGCTCCGTATTATATATATATAGCATATAGGCAATATTTACTGAAAATCTGCTCAGTTGCTCCTACTTGGTCAATAATGTTGCAACTAGAATGGGTCGTCGTTATATCTGTATGACAGATGTTTTCTCAATAAAAGTTTATTCACAACAATACTAACACATACTAATATATTTAATTGAAGGCCTAAAACAGGTTTTAGTTTTAGTTTTAGAACAATAGCAATACGCACAATACTAAAACCTAAAACTAAAAGGGAGGAGGGGCGGGTGGAGGGGCTCTAATAGCAAAAACAAATCTCTTGAGGGTCAAAATGTTATCAGACACTTACTCTTCGCACGTCAGCGGAAAGTACATTTCATGATCCTTTCAATAAAGTGATAGAAATGGTAGGTCAGCGCTGAAACAAAAAAGTTTTGCACTCGGTCCGTTAGACCATGTCTTCAGAAAATGTCTGATATCTGACCTTTCCCCACTGCCCTTTGACCTCCAATTTCGCGCTGGTGATGGGTTTCCTCACCATCACACTATACATCAAATATTAAGAGCGTAGGTCGTGCCGTTGAGATTTGTGCCGCAATTCCGTATTCCACACAGACCCGACGGAGCGTACGGAACAGTTTGGAGCGTTCCGATAAACACGTGGAGCTGTGCCGGAAAGTTCGGCCAATAACAATATTTAGGACAGCTTCCTTAGGACGAGAAGCTGGACAGCCGTTTATGAGTCAGCCGATGAGAAAATTGTTTTTAGCTTTTTTTTTTAGCATTTAATATGGTAATTTACTAATGTTCCTAATGTTATTCTTTAAGAGAATGTACGGATGAGCAGTTGACAACATCGCGATCGAGCGTAGCCTACAATCACCATCTAGTAGTCATTTTTAAATTTTATAGCGATACGTCAGCCAAGGGGCCGCCCTGAATAATCATTAAAGCGAGACATTTTGAATTTATTGTTTAATGCCTAAGCTAATGAGATTAGTCTGTCCTTTCCCTTTAAATGTATAATTACAAACAAAATACGATTTTATTAGGCAAATAGTGCGCGATGCGCAAACACATTATGCCTATAGAAGTAATTTGTTACGACGTAGTGGCACGTGGCGGATAGTGATCTTCACGCTTTCACACAAGCGCGGTAAGTATGTTCTCTTAAATTATTATGTTAATTTAAAAAAGTCTATTGTAGGGGCCTACTCATTCGACATGCAGCCTAGCATATATCACGTGGCGTAACAATCGCCATACTGGGTAATTTAAATTTTATTTAGTGTATGTCAGCCCGAGGGGACACATAATAATCATTACAAGTAAGTCTATCGATTTTTTTTTCTCTATCGCGGGAGGGTGTGGGAGGCGGCCCCCTCTCCCGTCCATGATGAAGATTTTGCCAATTATCTACACTAAAATGGGCGATCTGCCGTGCATCCTCGAGGTGCAATTCTTGCCAATTTCAAATAAAAAAAAATAAAAAAAACACCTATCAGTGAAAATGTCTTTCGACTATATGGTAAAGTAATTTGCATAAATACTGAATTAATAGGAATAAAGAATGTAAACGAATTGCCAAGAGAGCAAAGTACTATGAAAACACTTTCAGAAGAAATAACTGCCATCTCACAGTGTCACTTTTTTCGTTGTTGAAGGGGTGGGAAACACAATAATAAAAAAATCGTTTGTAGGGCTAACGAAAGTGCCGAAGCACCACGTCAGACAGGGCGAATTTGATTGGTGGGGGATACCTTCATACCATTGAAAAAGCATGCTTTAATTTTATCTTGGAGCGTTCAGGAAGCCCCCCAAAAAATTTAATATTATTCTCCTCTCTATGTTTCAGGGAGAGGGAAAAAAAGCATTTGTTTAGATCAAACTTTCTTGCCAATTAAAGAAAGACACATCAACACTTAAATCAATTTAATCATAAAAGAATAAAAATAAAATCATCAATCTTAAATCAGGCTTTTCTTGCATTTAATATTTTCATATGTTCATTGTTACATTTCAATGATAGAAGCATCG